GAGGCGGTGCGGCGGCAGATCCGCTCCGCGCGGCAGGTGGGTGCCCCGTGGGTCGGCACGTCCTCTGTGCCCGCCGCAGCCTCCCGAGTGTTGCAGGGGCGGGGGGAAGGCAGAAGCGCTCAGATTTGTGTCGCCGTGTCCTGAAGGCGAGGCTGTGTGATTAAGAGCGCTGCTTCGTGCTGTCGATAAGCGGTGCTCTCGGCGATAGGCTTGCAGGTGCGTTGCTTGCGACCAGTGCACCCAGCCGTCCGTGTCCAGGCAGTGAGCTTCGTAGTGCTCCACTGAAATAGTGAAAGAAAATCCCACATGGGGATGATAGAAAATCCTAAGCGCTGTTATCTGCTATAAATAAAACAAGCAGCACTAAAATAGGGACAAACAACAGTGGGTTCTGTCCATAAGTTCAGGGGAAATTAACAACACAGGGATGTGAAAAAGTGATGATAACAACAAGTGATGTGTGTTGGTGAGCTGTGGGCTGTAATCATCTGTATCAATATGCGATTCTCATCTCAGATCTTTAGTCCATTCACAGTTATTGTTCCCTTCTCTTCACTTTCTTACACGTCTTTTAAATGTTCGTTCGTTCTCTGAACAACAGAAGGATGTATTGCAGAGGACTGTACCATGTGCAGTGACCAGGAGGGAAAAAAAGGGCTGTGGGGGGTGGGGAAATATTTAAATTGAAAGTCAAATTCCTCCCATCTCCCTTGGGATACTGTGGAAACAACCTAACGATTTCTTCTGAACCTTGTTGCAGATGATTGCCCTGGTCATGGATTCCTTCACAGATACTGATATCTTCACGGACCTCTTGGAAGCTTGTAGCCAGCGGCAAGTCAAAGCATATATCCTTCTGGATCAGTCTTCATTTTCCCACTTTCTGAAAATGTGCAGGGATCTAGGAGTTGATCTGGAGCAGGAGAAGGTAAGCCTTGTAATGCTTCTAGAGACAAAAGTACTGCTCAAGAAAATGAAGGGGGAATGTCCAGTATGTAGAAGGGCATGTGGAACTGCTCGGGCTTGCTGAGACTGCGAAGGCTGATGGGAGGCACGTTCCCAAGATTCTCTGGAGTTCGAGTCCCTCTGAGATTAGACAGCAGTTTTAACAGCTGCACTCTGCACCATCAGTGTATAGCTCTGCCCCTTTGTGAGTTTTGTCTCTGTGGGCTAAGCCAATTCAAAACTGTTTCTAGATGGTGAATCCTGTGCCACTGTACAGTAACCTTTGCTAGTTCATCAGTGATCTTTACTGTCATGTGTTGCTTCTTTAAATGTATTACAATCATATAACTTTGAAATTCATTTATTGCCTTCTGTATCTTTTTAACAGTTAATGAGAGTTCGAAATATCACTGGGAACACATACTACACAAGGTCAGGTGCCAAAATTGTTGGAAAAGTCCGTGAAAAGTTCATGCTAATTGATGGCATTAGAGTGACAACAGGTTCCTATAGGTAAGTGTCGAGTTTTTATATGATTTTTTTTAAACAGGAAACAGTAACATTTTAAAACCATTTTCCTTACTAGCACATTGCTTGTAATGTTTGGCCTCAAAATAAGGCACACTACCATGAGAATTTTCAGTTAGTGCTTGGATATCTGTTATTACTTTGAATTAACTTGGAACTTTCTCCTTCTTTTGCTAGTTTTACATGGATGGATGGGAAGCTGAACAGCAGTAACATTTTGATCCTGTCGGGTCCTGCAGTTGCACACTTTGACCAGGAATTTCGGACTCTTTATGCACATTCAAAGCCTGTCGACCTTAAAGAGTTCTCCAGCAGCGAGAAGAATAAGGTGTTTGATGAGCTGGTCAGGATTACAGTGGCTTCTAGAGACTTAACCAGGGAAAACTTTCTGAGAATGGAGTTTTTATATCTTAGAGCATTTGTAGGAAATCTAAAAAGGAAGCGAAACTGGATGCATGCCTCAAGGGAAGCAGTCTATGTGTCAAGTAATGCAATGCATGTTTCTCCACCACTGACTAAGAGGAATGGCTCTCTAGTTATGAGGCCACACTGGATCATAGAGAGATGAATTGCACGTTCACTCAGAGCAAGATGCAAAACCTCAGAAGCCATGTCCTGTGGTCCATGTCCTGTACTGCCTTACAGTGTGTCTGTGCAAGCAGCTGGGAAGGCAACCTCAAGCTGAGAGAAAGAAATACTGGAATTGTGAGTTCAGTTGAACACCTCTGCCGTGTCATTCAGCAGACACAATTATGGTATTGTCTTACGTGCAGAAGTGCTCTTGAAAAACAAAACAAAACTCTTTAATACCTGAGAAGCCATTACTGATTTCTGGTGTTCTGTCAGTTTCTCATTTTTCAACCTATTTCTGATTATTTTAACGTAACGGGTTGGTGACGTCTTAGTTCAGTAGCTCAAATCTCATTTTCTATATGTAGATTCCTTAAAAAATACATTCCTTAAGATTCTAAAGATGGATAGCAGGACTGCTGCATGGCTCTGAAGTCAGTCAAAGCTTAGTCTTGTGTTCCACAAACAGTTCTATGATGCAGAACTGGATGGGAGTAGCTGTAAGCTAGAAACTAGGTCAGTACCTGGTTTCTGGTACTGTTTACATGAAGCTGAGCAGCTAGGCAGAACGATTTAATGTATCAGATTAACATTTCTGCCATGACTTAATTTCAAATAATCTTTTCAAATAATCACTAAAAAAGTGGTAATTCTTATCACTTGGATTGTGACCATCACAATAAACACAGTCTGAATGCCTGCAGTCAAGGGGCTATATGGCTAACAACCTACTAATATTAGTAGCAAAGCCAAAAAAGACTTTTTTTTTCTGCATTATATATTTTATGGTTGCTACCGCTGCCTGATCTTATAGGAAAAGCTGAGTAGATCTGAAATCTGCGAAGATGCTTCTAATTTAAAAAGCTTCCACCTGACAGGCAGCCTCATGGTAGTGAGAAATAGAGCCATTTCTTGTAGATGTTCTTAAGACTCTGCTGCAGCAGAAATCTTAGCAATATGTGTGCTTGTGGATTCTGGGCCTCCAAGGGGAATCTGTATACTTAGCTGGGGAAGTTCATGTGGATCTGTGCTATCCGCCAGTGGGAGAATATCAAAGTGGACATGTGGATCTTACAGAAGTGGTATTTCCTGCCAGTGCATCGTGCCAACGTGTCCTTTTTCTTCTCTGCTTACAAACATGCTAGTGTAATAGTTTTGATTCCTGATTTGTAAATGTTCAATAGTTTATATAGTTTAATAGCGTTAACTTTTATCCTGATGAAAGCAAATTTAAATATGTATTTTTATTCTTATTTTGGACATTTTCCATTAATACCCTTTAAGAAGGCAGTTTTGTACCCTATGCAAAATGCTGTTTGTGTGACCGTACTCTCACAGTGATGATCCCCCGTGTGTCTGTTATCACAATTACAGGTTTTTAACTTCGTTGTTCATCTCCTGATGTTAACAGGACTCCATTTCCGTATCCCAGCAGCAGGATTTTCTTCTCAGCAGCGCCTGATACAGTGATGGTGCTGCGATAAGAGTAGAGCTTATTTTTGATAGGATGGGTGTCGTTTAACAAGGACATTGAAATAAATTTTTGTAGCGTGTCTAATTATGACTGAATAACGTTCTTATCGGGTGGTTATGCAGACACTCAGCGAGTGCCTGTGGAGTTATAGCATTACGACGTATGCTGCTGTAGCCACCACAACACTGCTAGCGCGGTGGCACCCGTCACGGTGGGTGAGGAAGCAATTAGCTTTGCTAATTAACGACAGACATTTCGGGGTGAGAGCCTGCCCGCAGTTAAACCCCAGGCCCCGCCCCGTTCACTTCACGAGCCCACAGCAACGCGCGCCGGGGCGGGCCGGCGCCATGGCAACGGGCGCCGAATCACGTGGGCTCTACACTTCCGCTTCCGATTACCTTCTCACCCCAAGATGGCGGCGCCCGTGGGACCGGTGAAGTTTTGGAAGCCGGGTGAGGGCGGCGCGTCTGTGTGGCAAGGGAGGCTTGCGCCTTCCTTCTTTCCCTTTTTTATCCTTTTTTCCGTGAGCTAAAGCGCTTCTGGCCCCGGTGGTGGCGGGGAACCGCACGGGCTGCGCTGCCGGAGGAGCGCTCTGCCCCTCAGCCGGCGGCGGTGCGGGAGGAGAGGCTTCTGTGAGCGCTGCTCGGTGCCGGGGGCACTCTGCGGCCAGCGGACACCGTATGCCCTTGTAGCTGGGGAGTGGCGGGGGCTACGCTGAGAGAGAACTGGGGGAAGAGAGCCGCCCTGCAGCGCTCCTGAGGTTGCGTCGGGAGCTTGGGGGGGCTCCCGGCATCACGCAGACGTGGGCTTAAAGCAGCGCGATCGGAAAGGGCCGTGAATGAGATCGGGGAGTGGAACACGAGGGCGGCTGGAGCAGGTCAGGCATGACGAGAGGGGGCTGAGGGGTGTTTCTGTGGGCTGTTAGATGGGGACAGACTTCAGCAGCATCTGTTGCGATAGGGCAAAGGCAACCTTTCAAACTACAGGAGGGAAGATTTAGGTTGCATATAAGGAAGAAGTTATTTATGCTAAGGGTGATGAAGCACTGATGTAGGATGTGTAGAGAAGTGGTGGATGCCCCATCCCTGGAGACATTCAAGGTCAGGCTGGATGGGGCTGTGAGCACTTGATGGAGCTGTGGTGTCCTTGCTCATTGCAGGAGAATTGGCATAAATGACCTTTTAGGTCCCTTTCACCTCAAATAATTCTATGTTCTGAGTGGCAGTGGGCTCCTGGATCTTCCTGTTTCTTACCTTACCCATTCTGGAAGTGGATAGTAATCAGAGTCAGTGCTAATTGCTGTTAAAACTGATTCGGTATGCTGCGAAACTTACTTAGCAGTTTTGACTTGGGGTGAATTGATTTAAACAGCAGAAACAATGGGAAAAACCCCAAATGAGCAAGTCCTACAAAACAGGAGAAACCCCTTTGCTCTCAGATTTTTCCAGTTGAATTTGCAGCTAAAGACAGTACGTTCCTTTGTTGAGATGAGTTTTTGCTTTTGGTTTGTCTGCATTATTTGGAATTTTTAGTTGTCCCTAGTTTTATTTTAACACAGCAGCAGAAACAAATCAAATTTCAGATACTGAGGTAAATGTAGAGCTGCAGTGGTGTATCTCATCAGTAGGCAAGGCTGCAGTTTTGTGGTTCATGTTAGTCCAAAGGAGTCCTGTTACATGGCTGGCTGGCTTGAAACTCGTGGCCTTATTTCTGAGATTGATATTGAAGCTATATCGGAACTGCTGCATGGAAGAATAACAGTCCTAAGACTTGCTGTTTATTTTTCCCATGTGCTTTTTTTCTCCTTTATCTTCCTTTAAAAATTCATATTAGTATGTATTCATGTTAGGTTTTTAATAGCAGGAGAAAGACATTTGATTTGACACAATTTTTGCTTGTTTACAGATATGGAATATTTTTGATTAATTTTCTAGAAAAATTGGTCTCTTGATATATGCTAGGATGCATACAATTCCTCCTTGTGAGGAGCATCTTGACTTTGGTTGTGTTGTAAAAGTTAACTACTGTCATGTAGGCACAGAAGGTCCTGGCGTCAGCGTCTCGGAGGAGAGGCAGAGCCCTGCAGAGAGCAGTGGTGTAACAGTCATCTATAATCCTTATGCTTCTCTGTCTATTGAACAACAAAGACAAAAGCTGCCCGTTTTTAAGGTACAAGAGTTCTTTCTGGGGATATTAAATCAGTTAGATGGTGCCTGGCTTTTGTGGTTTTGTCTGTATTTGAGAAAGCAGTATGGAAACCCTTTACAACATAGCACAGTTATGTGATCTCATTCTCTTTATTTGCTGAAATTGATCGTTCTCATTGACAGCTGTTGCCAACAGTTTTATGGGCTTTGTAGGTTTAATTTAGTTACTGTATTTTGTATGCATAATCTTTGTAGATTTGAAAGATTCTCTTAACTTTTGACAGTACATTCTCTGTAAAATGACTTTGCTTAGGTAAACACTAATGTTAGCTTTCTTTTTTTGTTCAAATCTGGTTTTGGTACCTAAATGTTATGTCTTTCAGCTAAGAAATCACATACTTTATCTAGTGGAGAGCTATCAAACTCTGGTGATTGTTGGAGAAACAGGATGTGGGAAGTCAACGCAAATTCCACAGGTAAGAGTGTGTTCAGATTGGTAAAATCTGGTATTCCCTCAGAGGATTTTGCATGAAATATTAAACCAGCATCCCAGAGCTATGCTGTAAGAATGGAATTTGCCAGTGTTGTGTGTTTGTGCATGACCAAAAGGAGAGAAAAGTAAAGCTTCATGTTTGATAGCAGGAACTGGCGTATCTGAGACAGAAAGCCTTCTTTCACTCCTGGAAAGGAACACACCCTACATTTATGCTGATACAAAGAATAGTTACTCTGCTAAAGTGAAGGCTTTTATAACTTTATCAGAATTAAGTTTAAAATTTTGTTGAAAACATAATTTTGAGAAGGAAAGGAAGTGTGGATTTCCTGCAAGTTTTTTATAAACAATTCTTGATTTTAACTTAAATGACTGCAAGCTAATGATGAATGCCACCTGTTTCAGTGTGAGCACTTGACTTGTGCTGCTTGTCTTCAAAGTGGTTATAAAATGAAGGAAAGAAAATAAAAAATGAAGCAATTCAAATTAATACTTGATACTAATAACTTGATAATTGAATACTCAAACAACTGCTTTTAGCATACCTTCTGACAGTTGATGTTCTTAGAAGTAGTTATCATACTATATTTTTCTTAATTAAAAACAATTACAGAAACCTAAATTGTCTTTAATGGTGAGACAAATAATGCACAAAAAGTAACTGGTTTTCTGGAGATCATGCATAAGCTTGTGTCTGAACCAAGCAGTGTGGAGAGCTAGCACCTCTTAATCATAATGCCTTCTTTCCCTAAATATTTGTTTGCAGTACCTAGCAGAAGCTGGCTGGACAGCTGAAGGAAGAGTGGTTGGGGTGACACAGCCTCGTCGGGTTGCTGCTGTTTCAGTGAGTTTCTCCATGTCCAGATTTTCCCACTTAATTATCATTATAACTCCCCATTTATTAGTGGTTTTTGCTGAATAACAGGAATGGCAACTCAACTCCTGAATGAATGCTTACCTTCCCTCCAGAATTTCTGATACTGCATGCTGAATGCAGCATGATTAATCGGTTTTGCCAACAATTTCAAGGCCAGAATAGCAGATGAAGAAGCTTAGAAATAAAATTGGGTTGCATCAGCAGAAACTATACAGGGACTTAGGACTGTGCAAGGTTGTGCAAGGTTGAGCTGCGATTGACTCTGGGCTAGTATTATGGTTGTATGGTCTCTAACTTGTTTCCCAGAGTAAAGTAGTGGTACAAATCTGTGTGCAGTAACGTGGCCAGTGGAGTAGGTTGTATACTTCTTTTCTTTCTAGCAATTCATGCCTAATTTTCTTGAACTTTTTTTTTTTTTTTTTTTTTTTTTTCAGTTTCCCCTGGTAAGAGGGTGGGGGAAAAGAAGAAACCAATTTTATCATCTTTGCATTTAATTGATATGTCTAGGAGCACATATTGTAAGTTAGGTGTACTAGAAGAGGGAGGAGGGATGCTGAGGACAACAACTTGCACTCTGTGTTAATAATATGCACAGAAAGCAGCCAGTGCTGTTTGTTTTCATAATTGCCACCAAGCACTGAAGAGGTGGGCTGAAGCTTTTCTGCTGCCAGTTCCTCTTCTTACAGTAAATCGAGGTGCCTTTTTGTAATCCTCATTTTGCCTGTTTCGGTTTGTTTTTTAAATTAATGATATTGAACTGTACCTGCAGTGTGTCAGTGCACGCTTCTGGTAAAAGTGTTGTAGATTGAGCAATTGTCCACTTTAAAGGTTCACCTCACCCAGTGTTCTTTTACTACATCCACTCTCATTAAAGAAACAGCCTGTAGCAGTGATCTGCAGCATGTGCTTTGGGCAGTTTGCCTGCAGTGTCCTTCCTTCTCCCCTTCAAAGAACATTCAGTTGACATTGAGCAGTTCTACAGGAGATGCTGCTTATGCTGCAATGATTTCTCTCTCACAACAAATGTGTTTCTCTTTTCCCTTGATGTCTTAACATACTGCTTTTAAGTCTAAAATAGGATTACTCAGCTAGGTCTTAGTGTATGGTCACAGGAGGATTTTTCTTTGAGAATGAAACTGCCTGCATCACATAACTATTGCTGGGAGGTGAGAGACGATGATTTATTGCTTTGTCTTGAGCTGAAATAGACTTCATAATTTTAATTAATGTCTTACCTACTTTCTCAGGTATAATGTGGAGGTTGTCCCAAGTGAAGAGCAGTAGTTGCCCAAGGTTGCTTAGTTAAGAAATACCTGAAGTTCTGCTTGCATTACCCAGGCTGACAGTTACTCTGAACGTTTGCCTGAAAGTGATAAATGTCCGTATGGTTTCGGCTGTCATTTGAATGACTGAAAAAGCTTACTGCTGGAATTCTAATAGAACTAATGTGTGTGTCCTGGGGTTTTATTCTGACTGTAGCTTTTTAATTGTGTTGTAGTTTGCTGAAACCATAGCCTGCCAGTACCTAATATTCTGTAGACTAGTGAATCAGGATTTCAGCCATTGGCTTAAAACTGGTCCAGGGCATTTGTCTTCCAAAAATTGTTCTGCTTTTAATTATTTGCCAGTTTTCTGTTTTCTGCATTGAAATTTCTGTGTTATGAGAAGGAGACTAGCATCATTAGATAACAAGAAAAAAAGTCAAAGTCTGAGTAAATTCAGGGGCATACCAGCTTAACAAATAACTTGTTCTGCATGCTATGTGTATGTACTCCTCTTTATTGCATGCCAGCTGTGTTCTGAAACTGTACTTTCTCAGTTGCTGACGTGTGGTCTTTCCCCAGCTTTGTGACTGGTTGAAGGACAACCTTTGTAGGTCTGACAGAACTTTTCACAGAAAATTACTTCAAAACCTGTCTCAAGAAGTGTGAAGCAGATTAAGTTATGCTGAAGCATCTTCAAGGTTTATTTACCACTTGCATGTTCAGCACGCACTACAACATGAAACAGAATTTTGTATTTAAGATCAAGTCATACTTCAGAAGCAGTAGCTTTGTTTCTGTTTTGATGCTGACTTTCTACGGACAAAACAATGGTGCAATGAGGAATTTTGCTATTAGCTGCTTTTTGTTGACATGAATCTCTGTTGCCAGGTTGCAGGCCGAGTTGCTGATGAAAGGGGTGCAGTGTTGGGTCATGAAGTTGGATATTGCATTCGTTTTGATGACTGCACGGATCCACAGGCTACAAGAATTAAGGTGAAATAGTGTGTGGTCATTCTGGGAAGGTTAGCTGAAACTCTTACAGCACTTATGCAAAATCAGTGGGAAAGTTGTGATGCCCGGTATGGAGAGTAGATAGCTTTTTGGTTTTCCAGATGGATACCCTAGGAGTGTATTGAGGTGGTTGTGGCTATCTAGAACTAGGATGTTTTACTGTGCTATTCTGACAGCCACTGTTGTAAAATTAAAGCAGATTTTCAAGTTAGTTGCTGCCAGCTGTTGGTACAGCGCTGATGTGACCCCATCTGACTCAAAGTCATTGTGAAAGCCTGCAGTGAATCAAAGCTGAAGTATCCTCACCACCCCAAAAACAGATTTTGATTGAAGTGCAGAGAAAACAGAAGATGGGCAGGCTGAGAGTAATTTGATGTGGATTTAATAGCAAGCTTTGCAGCTCTTCTTTAGCCCTATGAATGATATTAATGTATTGTGGACAGATAAGAGTTTGCTTTAGTTATGTTGGAATTGGAATGATGATGAATGAAACAATTGACTTTTTTTTTTTTGAGACTAATAGCACTTTAGAACTGAAAGAAATAGAGATGTTTTGGAGTCTGATTCGTTGTTTGAGGTTGGAAACTTTGGGATTTTTACCTTGAAAATCAGTTCTTGCTGATTGAAGTCTAAATTTATAGTCCCAGGTCAAACTCTGAGGGCTAATTAAAGCTGGTGGGTTTCTACTGGCTAGAAATAAAAAAAATTACTAAGTTAAAACATTGAATTTGTTGTAATGTTAAGTCTTGTGTTCTGGTGAGATGTGAGAGAGATCTTAAGTAGTACCTTGAGAGAATCTAAGCTATACTGATACAGAGAATGTTACTTGTACAGAAATTCAGTCATGTTAAGACAAGTGTGAAGAAGCTTCTATTACCACATCCCAGTGCTGCCAGTCTGTGATTTTCAGTGAAGAACAACTAATTCTCAAAAACCAATATGAAAAGTACCAGTTTCTCTGCTTATCTCCAGGATAGCACTCAGAATTGTATTTAGCTTCCATAGCTGGAAATAGAACAACTTCAAAGATCATTAGAAAATGAAAAGTGAGTAAAAATTTAGGCAAAAGCTTAGAAAATGATTCAAGTAAATAAATGACACATGTAATTAGGATTACCTCCTAGGCTTTGCTGTTTGGTTTTTTTGTTTGTTTGACTTTTTACCATTTTTCTTTGCATTCACTTTTAGTTCCTAACCGATGGTATGCTGGTAAGGGAGATGATGGCTGATCCTCTGTTAACAAGATACAGGTAAGGAAACATGGGCTGAACGTTTGCTGAAGTGCATCTTGGTAAACAACTGGGGTTTTTTTTAGGCTGAGGTATGATTAGTAGAAGTTAAAGTTAAAAAATGTGAAAATTATTCAGAATTCCGACCTTCGTATGTTTGAAACTTGTTAGAAAATTGATAGCTGCAGTGCCAAACCCAGCAGGATTTGGTGCTGTGATTTTTGGAGTATAACATAAATGGGCCTTGTGGAGTCTGAACTGTTTCATCTGCTAGTTTTAAACTTTTTTTTTAATTAATTTAAACAATCAACAATGAGCAGGCTTTATTCTGGTATTTAGAAAACATTTGCAGTATGCAAATAATAAACCTTGGTTATTCCATCCCTTTCCAAAACAACCTGAATAAAGAAAGCTCTGCTTGTACTGCATGCTTGTTGGTTGTTGTCTACCTCTTCTCTCTTGTTTGCTTCTGTGTTTTTGGTTTTTTGTTGTTGTTTTTTTGTTTTTTGTTTTTTGTTTTTTTTTAATCTCAGTGGTTTTCTAAATGAATGTAAGCAATAATTCAGTAACAAATTTAAACACTGATATTTAATATAGGAAGATACCAATTCTAGCATCATTCAATCCATTTATATATCTTATCTTTCTGCTTTATTTGCAGTGTTCTCATGCTGGATGAAGCCCATGAAAGGACTCTTTATACAGATATTGCCATTGGATTACTAAAAAAGGTTATTTTTTTGATGTGGTCTGCAAGATTTTCCACTGTCGTCATCTTTGCTAAACTTCTGCTCCTGATGTTTTGTTAGTAAACTCATTTGAGAGAGGGAGATTTCTAGTTCCTCATTTATCCCACAGCTCACTGTATGTATCAGCTGTTTACTTTACACATCTGACACTTGGGACCCTCTGTTTCCCCCCCGAGGCTGAATTTTATCTTTGTATTACATAAGGAAAAAGACAGTCTTTGTTCTGCTGTAGATGAGTATGAGAAGTGACCTTGCAGGGAGTTGCTAACTTTAAAGCCATCAGTGATCTGACTTCCACCAGAAATTGAGAGCAAACTATGATTTCCTTTCAAATACCCTCAATTCTTTCTTAGCCTTAAATATAAAAAGCTCCACACGCATTTCTCAGGTTGATATGGTCACAGGGCAATACAGGTGCTGCAGTTCATCAGCTGTCTTGATCACAAACTATTTTTATAGAGAAGTCACTGGTAATCTGGCTGTTCTGAAACTTGGGTCTAGCCTTATAGCTCTGAAGACAGTCTTTACTCTAGATGTTCTTTGTCTTTTGGATCCTAGATTCAAAAGAAGCGTGGAGATCTTCGACTGATTGTGGCTTCAGCCACCTTGGATGCAGAGGTATATCTCCCAAATTTGGTTTAAAATGAAGTGACCCTAAGTGGCAGCTCCACTTGTGTTCACATGGAGCTTGTCCTCTGTGCTGCTCCTGTTTGAGTGCTGAAGAAGAGAGGAACACCTCTCCTACAAAGACTGGCTGAGGGAGCTGGGCTTGTTCAGACTGGAGAAGTCTCTGGGGAAATGTCATTCCAGCCTTCTAGTAGTTAAAGTGTGCTTATAATGAGGAGGGAGGCTAACTTTTCACATGGGCAGATAATGATGGAACAAGGGGACCAGTTTTAAATGAAAAGAGGGGAGATTTAGGGAAGATGTGAGGAGGAAATCCTTTACTAAGAGGGTGGTGAGACTGGCACAGGTGGCGCAGAGCTGTGGGTGCCCCATCCCTGGAGGTGCTCATTGCCTGAATCTGGGGCAGCAAAATCCAACTTTTAAGTTTTTTAAAGTAGAACTTTATCAAAAGACTCAAATTTATGGAAGCTATATTCAAGTAATAATAATTTGACTTCTTGATGTCGTTAGTTTTCCCCCTCAATTCTATGAAGTTTCAAACTGAAAGTATTTGTCTTTATTTTAATGGAGAAATTCAAGGATTTCTTCAACCAAAATGATACCGGTGACCCCAGCAAAGATACCAGTGTGATCCTTACTGTGGAGGGGAGGACGTTTCCAGTTGACATCTTTTACATACAGAGGTGTGTTTCTGTTTGATCTTTTCGGCGGTGATTAAGAATGTCTAACTTGTGGTGTCATAACGTACCAGATCAGTTATAATAAGGTGTAACGTTCAATTTGGCAAACATAGCCATTCTTTCAAAATGCTTTCATAGTTTTGGTACCAAGAAACTAAGGGCATAAGTATAGATACAAAATTGAATGAATTTTCCACTTCTGTGAGCAGCAGGAATGCATTTAAGTACAAAGGTGATGAAACATCGTAAGCTATAGACAAATTAAAGGAACTTTTTTTCACCCGAGTTTATTTTGAAATGAATGCATAGAGCCTGTCAAAAGCCTCCTCAGCTTTAGTTTTTAGTGGTCTCCATTCTGCAAGTGATTTGTTCTTTTGCAGTTGGTCTGGATGATCTTTGAAAGTTCCTTCCAATTTCTACTCTGCTTTTCTGTGAGGGAGCTGAGGATTTTAAAGGCAGTTTCATAAATGGAAAACATTAGAACAGAGTTCTCAGAAGAACTTTCAAATGTGTGCATGTGAACTCACATTTGTACAAATGAAAATCATGTTCTACTTGTGTCACTTCCCATTGGGAGATGCTACTCTTGCATGTGCTGAGAAATGTTTCTAATGATGGGTACATGAATCATATGGAAAAAATAAAATAGTAGCATGTGTAAAACCTCAAAATTACATTTTTCTTCTTAGAGCAGACACGTGGTCATATGAGTTATATTTGAAGTATGCACTTTAGAATATTTGCTTGAGAAAATGATGTTTAAAAAGCTCTTGAAGTGGTGGGATTTTGCTTATAGCAGCAGAACATGTGCAGAATGACTTTTTAAACTCAAAGCAGTGTTGAAGAAAAAAATGAGTTGCTGTTTTTTAAATTTTTATTATCTTTTAAAAAGCAAATAGATACAAAATCATAGAATCATAGAATTGCTCAGATTGGAAAAGACCTTAAAGATCATCGAGTCCAACCACAACCTAACCATACTACCCTAAGTAACAGTACTCTGTGTTCTCTCTCCACAGTCCTGTTCCTGATTATATAAAATCAACTGTGGAAACTGCAATGAAAATTCACCAGATGGAGAATGATGGTGATATACTGGCATTTTTGACTGGCCAGGTATAGACAACAGTACTTTTTTGCTCGACAGTGTTGTACTGTTGACTTTGTGAAGCCTTTTCAGATTCCTGCTTTCCTTTCTTCCCTGTCATTAAGATGGTGAACCTTTCTGTCAATGAGAGCAGAACTAGACTGGTCCCAAGGACTTCCAGAAAATGTACTGATGCAATGGTCTGAATTTATCAGAGCTGAATTTATCACAGCTGATAAGGATGGCTTTTCTCATTTAATACTGTGTGGCTTGGCCTTGTTAATACATGAATAGTGTGCTTTTTAGTGATAGTCACACCTACAAAGTTGTCAGTTTGACAGTGAGTCATGTTAATAATTAGTGCAAATGGAGTTTTACATATAATAGTCTTAAAATCTGAAGTCTTTGACAGGAGAAACAAATTGCTATATGATTAGATTAAAAAAAAAAAACAAAAAACCAACAAGTATATTTTTCTGCTATGTACCAGTTAGCTTACTTTTGCAGCCTGGAAGAGTAAATTAGAGCTTACAATTCCACAGAGCAGAACAGACTACCTTGAATGGCCTCACTATCATCCTGCATGTTTCTAAAAGAAATTCTTCGTGCTTATAATTGATTTGACTTCGAAAGAGAGAATTGAAGAGAATATATCTAAACCTTATTCTTTTTTTGTTGTTGTGTTTTGAGAGCCACAGCTGATCTCTGAGATGAAACACAAAGTTGAGCAATAGGTGTTAATGCTGTTACTGTGTCATTCTAGACCGAGGCCTACAGCACAGTCAGAACAGATCAGCCCCTCATTTTGATCTCACAAATTGAGAGATGCAGAGGAAAATGGGTCTTTTTCTTTATTACTGAATTTTGTTCAGCACATCTTTCATGATTTTTCTCATATATTTGTGGTGGGACACTCTCTTGAACAACAACTGTTGTAATTAATATAAATAGCAACATTAATATAAGTAGTAATTAATATAAGAATATTGCAAAATTGTGGGACCTGGTCAGATGGTTCTAGATTTTGAAAAATTAAAATTGTGTTAGGATTATTTTGGTGCAGGTCTCATAGAGGTGATATCTGTAGGCTATTTGTAAGTGAAAGCACTCTCATGCTCTTTCATCTTGCTGTGCTTCTAGGAGGAAGTGGAGACTGTAGTTTCTATGCTTATAGAACAGGCTCGGGCCCTTTCTCGCACTGGAATGAAAAAGCACCTCCGTGTTCTCCCCATGTATGCTGGGCTGCCTTCTCCTGATCAGATGAAAGTATTTGAGAGAGTTTCTCGCAGTGTCAGGAAGGTAAAGTTTTAATTTAACGTAATCTCTGCCATCCAGAAGGCTGCCTGTGTTTTGCAGCTTAATGCAAAGAATGTTCACATTGTGAGACTGTTGTGAGCTCCTACAGAGCAAAACTTTTTCTATCTCCTAATAGTGCCTGTCATCTTTCACACTGTGAGCCCAGAGCATTTTCTCTGCCTTCCCTTTTGATCATCGATCAGAGCAAGATATGTTAGTTCCAATTCTCCTTTCTACCTCAGCTTCTCAATCTTTGGGAGTCTTTTTACATACCTCACGTATTTATCTTTGTCCATTTGCAGCTTTTGCTTATGTCCAGACATAGCTTGTTACACTCTGAAGTCTGCTTTCACCTGTTATCATTCCTTTTTGTGGACAAGGTACCTAGACTAAGCTGTTCAGTACCAAGAAAAGAAAAATTAAGGACAGAGTGGGTAAATTTGCATGTGAGAAAGAAGTTAAACCTTGCTTGACTTGAGTTTAAAAAAAAAAAAAAAAAAGCTTTGTTTTGACTGCTGGAAGCCTTGTTTAGATGTTTAACATCAAAGAACTGTCATCTAATTGGTGATGATTAGTGCTTTCTACTTGAGCAGAGCTTGTGTTGGGGCAGAGATAAACTGACAATTACATGGAGTGAGTTGTTATACTTCTTGTGCCTGCTGGAGTCTAATGGGTAAAGTTGTTCATCTCATGCTGGAGATTGTTGACAGATAAATACTTCTTTTCTCTCCAGGAGGATTAACTGCTGAGATTTACTTCTTTATTTTCATGTGAAATAAGGATTAAATTTCCCTCTGTCACTTGGCAGCAATTCTTTTTTAATATTCTAGGACTCATATATAAGTATACAAGAACAGGAATACTAAACAAGGACAATTAATCAGCTCTGTCCTCCCCTGTCTCCTGCCCTGCTCCTGTGTTACAAGTTCAGTATAACTGAGAAGCATAAATTCAGTATTTTAGTTCACTAATTAAGAGCATTTGATTTACAGTTAGATAACGTTTTTCTTTGCAAACACACCAAGTTCTTCTGCGTTTATGAAGAGGAGATAAACCTGAATAAGAAATAGATTGTGAAACTGTAAAAAATAGAGTTACATCAAGTTGAGGACTATTTCTGCTGCTTTTACTGTATCCTTTTCTACTCCAGAGTGCATTTACTGGAACTGTCCTATCTGGGATCTTTTAAGTATCTTGTATGTGAGCCCTGGTGCACTGATGCTAGTGCCAGCACAGTTGAGTTTGCAGGGTTCACAGTGTCATGGCTGTGTCCATATCTGCAGGTGATAGTAGCCACCAACGTTGCTGAGACTTCTATCACCATTCATGGCATTGCGTATGTAATCGATTGTGGTTTTGTGAAGCTTCGAGCCTATAATCCCAAAACAGCCATTGAATGCCTTGTGGTGATACCGGTGTCCAAGGCTTCAGCTAACCAGAGAGCAGGACGTGCAGGCCGGAACCGCTCTGGGAAATGTTACAGGCTCTATACAGGTCAGTAATGGCGTGTGTTGGGAAGGTGAGCTTGCTGGCATGACTTGCATTTTGTTTTACAGTGGCTTTAGCATTGACATAAGGAGAGCAAAACTGCATCTTCTTTCAGCAAGAGATGGTTACTCTGGCTTATTTAGAAGTGCTTTGTTCATACCTGCTAAGCACCAGAAATGGGATCCTTTTATGAAACAGAACTATGAGCTTAGCAGGGAAGTTTCACTAATTGCCATCTTGCAGTGTTGATACAACTTTGAGAGTGGCAGCTCTGCACAGAATTCTGCCTTTCAGTGAGTTTGATTTCTAAAGATTCGCATCACTGAACAGCAGCCACCTGTGCCACACTCTTCTGTGACTAAAGTATCTGCTAACCGCGCGTCTGACAAAGGATTGCAGACGTCTGTCAGAATATAGATGAAAACTTCCTGATGTGGTCTCCATAGCAATAGGTGCCAATCTCAAATGCTGCCTTGAAATATTGAAGCTGGCAGTGTACAAAAATAACTGTTACAAATGAATCTGTCAGCCACTCGGCAGTGCTCAGAATGCTGCAGTTCAACTGCCTCTTCTCCCAGCTGTTGAATAGGAAAGGCCTTACAGCTGAGCACTGCAGTTGCGTATGTGTGCCTCAGGTTCCATCTGATGCTATCAAGCTTTGAGACTTAGAGATATCGAGCAAATCACTTTGAAAAGTGTATGTGCTTGCCAGCAGTTGCTACGTTAAAGACAGACATGCTTTGTTCCCTAAATCTGTGTGTTTACTAAAGAATCAAGAGTGAATGCAATTGCTCTTCCTTTAAATTTAACAGACCTTTCCATGGACTATAAGAGCCTGCAGACTAAGGGAAATGCTTACTAGATCATGGAGGTTAACAATTTGTCATTGGGTTTGGGTGACAGAGTGAAAACTCATCTGTGTGAGATGTGCTTGTATTTCACAGGGACAGGTCTTTGGCTGCTTTGGGAGCAATTGCTGATACACTGTGAAATTAAAAAAAATCTTTTTTTCCTAGTTGTCTTTCAGAAGTGTGATCCTGCACCCTTTGAAATTGAAGTGAAATAAAGCACCTTCTCCCAAAATTATCTGCAGCATTTTTCAAATTGGTGTTTTAGAGAATTTTCTGATTTAAAAATATCAAACTATTGGAAGAAAAAGTATTTCCAGATTTCTGTGAAGAATTTATATTTCAAGTTAAAATGTGGGTCAAGTTCATGTGTGATAAACATAGAATTTTCACATTAAAGTAACTGAAAATACAATCATTAAAATAATGTCATTTTGAGAAAAGAGTTCTTTTAACACCTATGAAGTGTTCATAGTCAATAGTTTTAAATTGAAAAGGGTAGTTTTATCGTGGTGACTTGCACACAGGAAGAGCTGAAACCCGATCCCAAATATCTTTGCTTTCCTGTAACAGAGGAAGACTTTGAGAAGTTGCCCAAGTCCACTGTTCCTGAGATGCAGCGCAGCAACCTTGCACCTGTCATCTTGCAGCTGAAGGCTCTGGGAATTGACAACGTGCTCAGGTTCCCTTTCCTTTCGGTGAGTCCTATGCAATGAAACATGTCATCTTCCTTTAATGCCAACAGTGATCACTGGGTGACTTGTTGGTAACCCACTGAACCAGTAACTATTGCTTTGCTAATTTGGGAATTACACCTCATTGACCACTATCAGGTGGCAGAGTATCCTCCTGGGAATCAGCTAGTGCAAGTAATATGTGACAACAGAAACAACAGCTGTTGTATTTTAGAGTTTGCTGTTACAAGCGTGGAGCAGTTGAGAGCAGTTTGGAAAGAAAAAGTCCTTAGGATTCTGTGAAACTATAGCTAATTTGATTTTGACTTGCACTGAATTTGGGGGGGAAGAATCTACAGAACTAAACCTGTGTTTGTCCACCTTGTTAAAAAAAGCAATAACAGTTATTAGGTTTCTCTAAAGTTTCTAGCTACTCTTATGTAAAGAAGATAGAAGAGAAAGTTGAGAAGTAATTGATGTTGTAATTGCCTTTGAATAAAGAGAGCTTGGCCTAATTCTGTGTACTGATAGGATCTTGAGAGAGTCATAGTGATGATCCTGAACCTGTTGAGATGGCTCTGACTTGCAGCACTGGTGGTCAGTGAAAGGTTGATAGGAAGATTCTGAGAACTCTTTTCATTTTGTATGTGCAGAAAGATCATTAGAATGATTTTGTGAAGAAGATCTAGGAACTTCTGTGAAAACTTTTAGGTTTTATGATGAGAACTTTAAACAATCCATGTTTTTGTTTTCCACAGCCACCTCCTGCACAGTCAATGGTACAAGCTTTAGAATTACTGTATGCTTTAGGAGGTGAGTATATTATACTTTGTTTTGCCTACAGTTTTCTTATGGGAGTTGTTCAATTGAAGCTTTTTGTTGTTTTTTTTTTTTTTTTTTAACGTACTTCAGCCTCCTCAGAATTTCCTTTCTTTTGTTCAGTGGTTACTTCACACAGGTAAGCAAAGGAAAAGCAAAGGAAATGACTTTCTGGGAGGAACTAGAAAACTGCATAAACTAGAGTGTATCTGTTTTGATTATGCAAAAGCAGATTTTACTGCTATCCTTCTGTGCATTAACTTGTGCTTTCGTGAGAGGAATCAAGTATTTGCCATTGCGAGGAACAGGATTCTGAGCTGATGACGGTGTTGACTTGATTTGTTCAGGCAGTGTTTCTCCAGTTCTTTAAGAACAAAGTTATAAAAGGAGATAGGTCACTAATTAGACCAGTACGTGAGTAAGACACTAAATTCACATGCATGCATTTGGTTAGGTTGTTGGATATTCAATCTTCATTTTGTGTTACTATACCAGTGATGGAAAGTTCAAGTATAAACAAGAATAAAACAAGTTGGGAGTAAAGGTGTGACATCTCTTGTGGTCAGACTAATTTTAATAATTCAGAATTTATCATATTCAATATAACTGTTACTTTATTTCTTCCTTGATTGGACTTCAAGAAGCACAGAAAGCATTTTCAGTTTTTCTGTTAACGTGTTCCTTTCATTATCTGATCTTGACTCTGCTGTGCATTGTAAGTACAGTCTGATACTTGAGTCTGAGAGCAGAAAGTCACCGAAGACTGGAATCAAGATCTAGCAAAGTGTGCTTCCCAATAGCTCAGAAAACAGAGATCACCTATTAGTTTTTGTAGCCTTTCATTGGTAAGATGTTGAAGGCTTTTTGAAGGCGATGATTCTGTGATAATGTAACCAAGAGGAAAAAGGTAGTATAGAAGAGTTTGTGTAAATTTTGGAAGCTTCCAGTGGTCTGTGGCCATTTTTTACATCACTTACAAATGCTGTGTTGTAATTTGTGGCAGCTGGTGTGATTCTTACTCTCGTGGAGCTGTGTAGCTCATTGCCTGGGATTTTGTTCTGTGCTGGTTCAATTGCATCTTGAAAAGCAGGGTTCCACCTGAGGCACTGGGTTCATGGCAGCCATTTCGGCCTGGAACAAGCGCCTTTGTGCTGGCTCTGAAGCGTGTTGCAAGGATGGATTTGCAGCCAAAGCCACCTTAGGGAAATGGAGAGGAAAGGTCAGTAGACTCACTGATCAGCTGTCTGCTGTTTTGGCATAAGCATTATGCTCATGGTAGTTTCACGGGAGAGCATGGAGCTGTTACTCTGTTGGCTGTCCAGCTTTTGTAGCAAGACAGAGAACCTCTGATGTTGGTGTTTGAGGTAGGAAGGAATGCATGCGTGCCTGTGATACAGGTTAGCTCTGAGATTTTTGCTGAAGTTTCAGGTTTTTGCTAGTTTTGTGAAGATTTCTTTTTTTTCCAGAGATAAAGCTGCCCAGGAGTTGGCAAGTGCAGTAAAGGTTGTATTTCTCTTATGCAAGTATGAACCTCTATTTCAACACTTGCATTGTAATATCATGTAAATGTGCAGTTTAGGGTCAGGACCCTGCGGAGCAACTTGTGCAGACTGAGATAGTTCTGTTGAATAAACACATCAGTGTTCTCAGACTGATTATTTTTGCAGTGACGCAAACAGATTACATCAGGAGGACCTTTTCTCAGCCTTCCCCTTTGATGCCCATTTGAAAGTCAGAGTTGTCAGCTGGAGTTTATTATTTTTAAGCATAATTTAGAGGAGCACAGATAAGCTGGCAAGAAGTGACTTTGTTTATAGCTTTATTTCAGAGCCAGTGTTTTGTTGAAGATTTGTTTTTGTGTTGCTGTCCAGCTGGGTTTAAAATCGGATGTCCTTCTCCCTTAACCCATCACTGACTAGTGATTGCACTTGAAGCTTTTTAGTGACAAGGTGTTGAAGCATGCTCACTAGTAATCTTTTAATATCTTGATCTAAGCTTTCATAGCTATATACAGCAGTTGCTTCTAAGGTAATTTCAGTAAAGCTGTTCCAAACTTGTGTCCATTGTAGCTCTTCCCTGTAAATGCAGGCTTACATCTACAAAGACATCTGCACACAGGCTGTATATATCCATATACAATTGCACTGACACAGAATTCAGCAGAAGCCAATAGCCTATGGCTTAATATACCTGTAGAAAGTTAAAAAGATGATGATTTCTCCTCCTCCCCACTTCAGAACCCAGTTTTGTTTCTTGAAATTCTTTAAGTTAGGTGCTCCATGTTCTAAGATAGCACTTAAGCCTTGGTCAAATGGTAACTAATCATACCTTAATTTTTTCAGTTTCTCTGACTGCATGTTTAAATATATTATTTCATCACTATACACAGGATGCATTTTGTAACTGTCTCCAAGGATAACTTTTTTACATTAGGTGCAGTATCTTGTGTTAGAATAGGGGTGTGGTGTGTGACATAAAAAGTGAACATAAAAAGTTCATTAAAGGTCTTATCAAGTAATAAAGGAAAGTAAACATTTGAGAGAGAGCTGTGGCGTTAGGTGTGCTGACGTAAGTTGTTGGTGCTGTCCTCCTTTGACTTCATTTGTGGTTTGGGTTTTCTCTGTGTGGCTTTTTGCCACCACCCAGTCTGACAAATGGCATGTTTATGTATGGTGTGGGCCACCGTTGGTTCCTCACTGTGCTCTGGTTGGTTATGGTTATTTATACAGTCTGCAGTGCTCCAGTGTCTGCTGCACTGCTCCCATCGGTTTGTCCTTGTGTGGTTTCACTCATGCTCTGAAAACCAAGCTGCTGTGCCTTCATCCTGTACCACTCCAGCTCCAGTAAAAAGGCTACAGCTGGAATATGGCTGGCAGCTCAGTTGCTGATGCACCAGGCAGGCAATCTTTATCATTTGTGCTTCTCTAGATGCTATTAAATTACTTCTCTATGACCCAAACAGATGTAACTCAGAAAACTGACAGTGTTCCTAGGTGTATTTGCTGTATTTTTAGCTCACAATTCTAAAGAAGTCTTTCTGGGCTACTTTTACCTGCATCACCAATACGTTTGTCAATGTGCTGCAGGTTTGGATATGCACTGCCGTTTAACTGAGCCCCTGGGAATGAGAATAGCAGAGTTTCCACTGAATCCGATGTTTGCAAAGATGCTTCTGGAATCAGGTAGGTGGGGAAAAAACAAAATTTTCTTCATAGTCTTGTGATGAGTAGTGGATATTGCTCTAGCAATAGTAGCATGCTGTTAGACATAGGCTAAACTTGCAGCAAGTTTTGTCTTGGTATAGTGTTTAGTAAGAAGAGCCATTAAACTCATGGGCCTCTCTAATAGTGACCAACATTTAACACATTAATAATTAAGATTAATACACTGTCTTAATTTTCCATGAAAACATTCACTCATATTTGCAAAAAAATCTGAGTTAGATATTTTGTGTTGTTATACTATTAAAAAAAAAAAAAATATATATATATATATATTTAATTTTCTTCTATTCTGTGTGGTGGTAAGTTGAATGGAAGACGATTTCCTTTTCTGAATTTTTCCACCTGCTTTTCAGGAAATTTTGGCTGCTCCCAGGAGATTTTAACAATTGCTGCAATGATGCAGATTCAGAACATCTTTTTGATCCCACCGAATCAAAAATCTCAAGCTGTAAGTTCAGTCACACTTTTTTTTTTTTTGGTACATTCTATATTTTTAGTTTTCCATCAAGTATTTTATTGGTGCGTGCAACAGATTGCAAATTCATTTGAAAATGAAGCAAAGCTTTGAACTGTACCTAGTGGTTCTAGGTAAAAGGGGAAACTGAGTAACAGTGGGGTCCGTGTGTCCCTTGCTACTATGAGCTGACTCCTTCTGAGGAGCAGAAATGTGAAGGGTTATAAACCAGTATTGGCCACCATGAAAGGATGTTAAAGAAGGGAGAGGGAAATAGAAAAACAAGCCGAGCAACTAAGCAAACTTCCACAATTTCTCCTTCTTTTTCAGAGAACAGAAAAGAAAGTATTAGGTGAGACTGAGCTTTTGATAGATATCAGGAGCCTAATTTTAATGGGTCTCTCTTAGATTTTGTGGGATTTATTTTCAGGTCATTTTTCTAATTCAAGTTTAAGAACACCACCTCAATATATACGTGTGGTAGAATGTAGATGTCGTGTTGAAGAACTGTTCTTTATGGTAAGAATTCCGATAGTCACCAGGAAATACACCAGTTTAATACTGAGGTCATTAAACATGACTGCTTTTAAAATGCATTTATCTTCCTCCAGGCCAGGCAACACAGAAAGTTTGCTGTGGAGGAAGGAGATCATCTCACTATGCTTAATGTTTATGAAGCCTTTGTCAAAGTAAGTCAACACAAGTGTAAGTCAATACAAGTGGTCTCTGGCTGGGTGGATAGGGGGAGAGCAGTGGATGTAGTCTACCTTGATTTCAGCAAGGCTTTTGATACTGTCCCCCATGACATCCTTATAACAAAGCTGAGGAAGTGTGGGATAGATGAGTGGACAGTGAGGTGGGTTGAGAACTGGCTGACTGGCAGAGCACAGAGGGTCGTTGTTGGTGCAGAGTCCGGTTGGAGGCCTGTAAGCAGCGGTGTTCCTCAGGGGTCTGTGCTGGGTCCGGTCTTGTTCAACATCTTCATCAGTGACCTTGATGAGGGGATAATGGCCACCCTCAGCAAGTTTGCTGATGATACGAAGTCGGGAGGATTGGCTGACAGCCTGAAGGCTGTGTTGCCATTCAGCAAGACCTGGATAGGCTGGACAGCTGGGCAGAAAAAAACCGGATGAGGTTTAACAAAAGCAAGTGTAGAGTCTTGCATCTGGGGAGGAATAATTCTATGCACCAGTACAGGTTGGGGGATGACCTGCTGGAGGGGAGCTCTGCACAGAGGGACCTGGGTGTCCTGGTGGACGACAGGTTGGCCATGAGCCAGCAGTGTGCCCTTGTGGCCAAAAAGGCCAATGGCTTACTGGGGTGCATTAAAAAGAGCGTGGCCAGCAGGTCAAAGGAGGTGATCCTCCCCCTCTACTCTGCCCTGGTAAGACCTCATCTGGAGCACTGCGTCCAGTTCTGGGCTCCCCAGTACAAAACAGACAGAGATCTCTTGGAAAGAGTCCAGCAGAGGGCCACAAAGATGGTGAAGGGCCTGGAGCATCTCCCCTATGAAGAAAGGCTGAGTGAACTGGGTCTGTTCAGCCTTGAGAAAAGGAGACTGAGAGGGGACCTGATCCAGGTCTATAAATATCTAAGGTGTGGGGGGCAGAATGGCGAGGCCGGACTGTTTTCAGTGGTGAATGGAGGCAGGACAAGGGGAAACGGCTGGAAACTGCAGCATAGGAAGTTCTGCACAAACATGTGCAAGAACTTCTTTACAGTGAGGTGACAGAGCACTGGAACAGGCTGCCCAGGGAGGTGGTGGAGTCTCCTTCTCTGGAGATGTTCAAGACCTGCCTGGATGCCGACCTGTGCGACCTACTGTAGGGAACTGCTTTGGCAGGGGGTTGGACTCGATGATCTCTGGAGGTCCCTTCCAACCCCTACAATTCTGTGATTCTGTGATTCTGTGATTCTGTGAAGTGGATTTGTGGGAATGTGAAGAACCTGGATGTCCCCTGTTCTGGTTCTGGAATTTCTGGATATAGAATCCTCAAAGCCAAGGACTTGCCAAGTCTATTGTGAGATAGTTCTGCATTAAAAGATTCTCTGGCCTTACTTTGCCACAGATCTTCTGTAGTTCATTCGATCATGGAACAAAATTCTGTAGTTCAGATATGGCCCAGGATTCTTATCTGTAGATAACTGTATTTTCAGAGAGATGGGGATTTTTGGAAGGGTCTAATAAAAAAACAAGTATTCAAATTTTGATTGAAATTTGTGTTTCTACAACTTTTTATAGAAATATTTGAGTTGTACTGATGATAAACTACATCCAACTCTAGCAATCTTTCTGTAAAGCACTGCCTCATTATTTTGCTGGTATGGAGCACTTCTATAACAACATGTTTGTTAAAGTCTTGAGTTGAACCAATATAACCACTCTAGGATTTAAAAAGAAAACTTTCCTCTTCCTATTCCCAAAGCAATCAGGCACTAAATGAAACTTTGCCCGTCAGATTTTGATTCTGCACGTCTCTTAAAGCAGCTGAATGCAGATTCTTGAATGAAGTATTGGCTTCTAGAGAAGGAGACCAATGAAAACAGTATAAAGAAAATGTTGTTTACGTTTTGAGATTAAAAACAGACCCATTTTTGATATGATGCATTTGTCTGCCATTTAGAGGTTGTTTGAAATGTGCTCTGTAATTACTGTTGCTACCTACACTTGATAGCTGCTGTGTAAGAAGATTTTCAGCAAAAAGGACAATAAGTAGCATTGTGGAAGACAAAAGAAAACTTAATAAGTTTGTGACCCAGAAGAGATTGTTCGTTGTTTTACTGGTGGCTTTTCATGGTAATTTCTTTCTCCTTACTCTGCAGCACAGCAAAAGCTCTCAGTGGTGTCAGGAACACTTTCTGAACTACAAAGGACTTGTTAGAGCTTCTGTTGTAAGGGAGCAGCTCAAAAAGCTTCTTGTACGCTTTAAAGTGCCAAAGAAGTCCAGTGAAGGTGAAAGTTTCCTTCTTTCTTCCTTCATTTTCTTTTAATTCTGTTGCACGTTTTGAGGGTAGACTCTAAATTGCCAGTGTGCTTCTTGCCTTTCTTGTATTTTTTCATGGCCTAAAAATAACATTAATTAAATCCATATATTTTTTTTCCTAAAAATGACTGTGAATGAGCAAATTAGTGTATTTTTTTACAATTAACACATAGTCCAGCCTTCGTTAGTTACGTTTCCAGTAAGAGATCATCACCTTTGATCTTGGATTTAAAGGACAAATTTACAAAGAAGTTATAAGAACGTCACCTCATTTCTTCTTCCAAAGAAACATTTCTTCTTCTTCTGTCCTTTACAAAAGGCCAGTTTTCTGCTGTATTCATAATGATGTATAGACATTGAGATCTGATTGCTAGCTGCTGTGTGGACATGAATGCCATGACTGGTTTTCAGCACTCATTTCTAGCAGCTCTGAACAAGCAGACCTTAATGCTTAGCTGTCACACAGGTTTGCTCTAAGGACTTTGTATCTATCTTCTTGGAGGCTTCAGTAACTTCTGTTTTTTACAAGAGATTGCAGGACTCGTCTTTATTTGCTCTCAGAGCTTGACGCAGCATGAGAAGTTGTCTGAGATGATGAAATGATGCTGAAGGGATTTTTACCTTTCCATTGACTAATTTTACAGAAAAATTCTTTTCTTCAGGTGATCCAGATCCTGTTCTAAGATGCATAGTTTCTGGATTCTTTGCTAACGCAGCTAAATTCCACTCTACTGGAGCTTACAGGTAATATAAGTAGTTTCATTACAACTCCTGCTTAGTTGAAAAGCTTGTTTGATTGGGTAAATCTAAGCACAGCCAACAGATGAGTGTGCTTCTGGATGCTTGCACTAAGGAACACGTGGCGATTGATTTACTACATCTTTGGAGGTTTGTGTGTTCAAACTTCATTGATGTTTTTCTTTGTCAAATATAAATAACAAGTTATTGATAATGGGGAATCTGTTACTAACAGTAATTAATTTATGTTAATGCAAGCAAGCACCATGTATTTGTTCTATTGCTTCCAGTGAACTGAATAAAACTCTGAAACACTGCTTCTTCATTTCATGTAGATCATTACATTATCAGTTGTTTCTTTGACCAGGATTTAAGCCTGGTTTCAACTGAAAGCTTCTTCATTAAATAGAAGTCTTTAAAATTTGCTCCAATTCTTTCACTGTTGCCTTTTATTAACATTCCTATTGGGGATGAAAGGAATCAAATTCTAAATAATAAATCTTCTTTTTAAGGACTATCCGTGATGACCATGAACTTCATATCCACCCTACTTCAGTACTGTATGCAGAGAAACCTCCACGCTGGTAAGTTAAAGCAACTTGTGCTTGCTTTGTGATCTTTGTAAGGCATTCCTGGCATCCAGACATTTTTATGATTGTCTTTCTTTATCATTGGAGGAATAAACGTAGAAAGTCATGGTTCCTACAGGAAGAATTCAGATGGTATTTCCTTTGCAACACTTGGTAGGCAGTATCCAAGTAAATCAAAGAAAGATGGTGCTGTCTAACTATCAGAAAGCCTGGAGAGGTTGTAGAGCAAATTGACCCTTTTTAATAGGTGTCTTGTACTATAGCTTGGTCTGTGAGCAGTCTCTGTACCTAGATAGAGCTGGGATTGGTTTTATTAGACCTAATAAAGAAATGTACTGTCCAGCAGCTGCCGCTTCCTAGGAGAGGGCATGTGCATGCAGTTCATGGTCCAAATCTCTGAAAACCACCTGTTTGGTGTTGATGGCAGCACTGTTGCTTGGAGCTGTCTTTCAAGGCCATATAGGATCGCCACTGCCAGCCTGAACACTGTTCTCATGGAATCCTGTAGGATTCCTGTGGGTTACCTTACCTGGCAACCCTAATTCCAACTGCTTGGGAGCATCTCCTGTATGGAGGGCTTCAGTTCTCCATCTGTTTCAGGTGTGTATAAAATCTGTTCTTTTTCTTCTTGCTTTTTCTTAGATTTCTTTTTAGTTGTATTGCTCCATTTTGCAGAAAAGAAAAGTTTGTACTCCTTTGCTTCAAGAGCAAAATCCCTATTCATGAGAAACCACAAACCTTGTGGCAGCTTTACTGTGTATAGGAGGCTGATAGTGACTTATGGCTTTGGTGACTAACTGTTCAGAGCGTGGGTTTGCACTCCCTTGGTAGACTTTCCCTGCAGTAGGGTGTCTTCAGAGTTAGGTTGTCCTTTCTGTTCTTGTGGGCATGGATGTTTGAGTCCATATAGCTGGCTGTTTCTGAATCTCTTCCAGAGGATGTCCTGGCAGCAGCTAAAGCTGATTTCTTGCTCTAATCATTATCTCTTCTGTCTGCATGAGAGATGTTCATGCTGTAACTTCAGCCCAGCTTGTTGTGGACCCAGGCTTTTGGTGTCTTTGACATCCTTTCTCATGACAGCACAGAATAACTAACATTCTCTTCCAAAGTATTTGCTATAGGGGGTTTGCTGAATCCCCTTAGTCCCATTATCTCTTCTTATACCTTGTGGTCTGTCCTAATAGTATGTGAAGTTGTTTTTAATGGTGGTTAATTAATTAAGAGTACTCTGAGCAACCCAGAAAAAAGAGGCAAGAGCTTACTGCATAATCTACAGACTTTCTTATCATGCTGTGAATATTCTGTGTCAGCTTGTACGTGTATCTTAATATGGTGTTAATCACCTCTCTCCCTTGTCTCCTTACAGCACAAACATGTTTTTCTTTTCCTTCTCCTAGGGTAGTGTACAGCGAAGTCATACAGACCGCCAAGTACTACATGAGAGATGTGACTGCCATTGAATCTGCATGGCTCGTGGAGCTGGCACCTCATTTTTACCAGCAAGGAACGGTACGGAATCGGCATAAAGCCCAAACGGTACCACTGCTGTGTTAACAGCTTTGTATCTGAGTTTTGCAGTGATTTTTTTGTTATTGTTTTCATCTATTTAATAGTAGGAAAAAAATAGGCTTTTTTTTTTTCATTTTAGGCGTTTTACTGTAAAGAAAGAAAATAGTAAATTGATGCGTGACAGCTTTTTGCCCTATTATCCAACCAACAGATGTGTCTGAGAAATTACAGAACAGCATAGCCCTCCAAAAGATGAAATCTTCAGCTATTCTGCACTTAAATATGGATATTTGGTGTTTCTTCTGTGAGCATCACTGTGACTGACAGTGTCGAAGTTTGCACAATCGTTCACAAGAGTCTTTGTATCATTTGCAAATGTTTGTGCAAATCCCAAGCCCTATGTTTTTGATTATCTACTCCAAAAAGTCACCTCTGATCTGTTAAAAGCATGAAACATAAGGGATAGCTGCTGTTTGTACAACCTTTATTGCAAGTTCTGTTGTGCAGTGTACATACTTAGAGGAAGAAGAAAGAAAAGTGTATAAAAACCTGAAGGGAGGACAGAAAGAGGACTGAGTGAGGCTCTTTTCGGTTGTCCCCAGTGCCAGGATGAAAGGCAGCAGGTACAAACTGTATCACAGGAAGTTCCATCTGAACGTCAGGAAGCACTGGTTTGCTGTGCAGGCAATGGAGCACTGGCAGAGTTGCCCACTATGAAGTCTCCTTGGAGATCTTCAGAAGCTACCTGGTTGTGGGCACACTTCTCTGGGTGTCACTACTTGAGTAGAGATTGGGCCAGATGGCCTCTAGAGCTCCCTTCCAACTTTAACCACCCTGTGATTCTGTTCTTCACTTCATCTTTTAACAGTTGCCATCTTTTTTTTTTTTCTACTATTCTTTATCAACTCTGTCCCATGCAAACTCATCAGTTTAGTCTTATTCCTTCTGATAATTGAGAGATCTGGATTGGCAATAAATACTACCTAAATATTAGTCATGCTGAAGCTGCAGATACTGCATTGTAAGTAAATACAGACAAGATTACCAAACTGATCTTGCATGTGAGTTTCCCATGAGATATTAATAATTATTGAGCTTTATGTTATGAATTAGTGGACTATTTCCAAAATGCTGAGGGGAAACAGGCACTTGAATAGCAGACTGATGCAAAACAAGAGATCTATTAGCATATGAGCAGCCATATTGCAAAAAATACTGTTTCTGATCTGTATTTTGATCTGTCTCACTATTGGACTTCTGTAAGAATTTCATGCTTGCTTGCTTTCACTTCCTGGGGTTTTTGGAAAAAAGACAAATGCTGTACTGCATGGAGCATCTTAAAATGTATGCATGTGGCTACAGTATATAAGAACACTGGTGTTCATGTAATTGACCTGGGAGAGGTTTTTTGTTTAATAGATGCTGAGCTTTGATCATTCATCTCAGTTGCGTACACATTTGCCAGCTATAAATACCTTTACAAAGTACTTGAATATTTTCTGCCTTTTACTCTAATGCCTTTGACAAAGGTAGTAATGACTGCAGGATACATCCTTGAGCCTTTAGCTGCAGATATATTCTGCAGGTGTGGTGATGAAGGATGAGGCAGCGTTCCTGTTGTATCAAATCTGCTACTGGAACAGTTCGCCTTTTGACTCACATATTTACATGTTGTAACACAGCATCTTATTATCATATAACCTCTCCGTGGGCTACAGCGTGGTGTGAGGTTTTCCTTTAAATAGGTGGTGCTGGGACATGTGATTTGGTGACTCATTCAGGCAGAACTGGAATTGCTTTTTGGAAGAGGAGAGTTGTCTTCAATTTTTGCAAGGCAGTGCTGCGACTGTTGTGGATATTCTACAAGATCACATCAGAAGCTGATTCTCATGCTTGCAGCCTTTTTGATTCAATACAGTTGTACTTAGCTTGCAACAGGGCAGAAGCATTACTTTCACCCTAGAGTAGATGAAAGTTATTGGAGGTAGAGCTAGTTTTGAGGGAAAGCACCTCTTTTGGTTTAGCCAGTTATCCTCATCAGTCAGGAGGCTTAGGTGTATCGATAAAAGTGTTTGGAAATCAGAAATGAAACTGGAGTTATACTTGTAACTTTTGAATAAACAGTTCACTGCTAAAGTACTGTAATTCAGACCCTTTTTCTTCTGAAGGACGCATCCTTTTGCTGATGTATCCCTGAAATAGGATCGTTTGAATTCCTGTATCAGGTTTAAAAACAAAACAAAACAAAAAAAAACCCAATTGAACCTGAACAGGATTCTCTGTCAAGACTTTTTCCTACAATTTGATTATGTTTTTAGACAATTCTGTCTCTTTTCAACTTCTGCAGTGGTTTAAGAAGATGATTTTCATGTTTTCATTCCATGTTGCTGTGTGTCTTTTTCTTTCAGAGCATGTAGGTTCCAAGGTCCAATGAAACTATAGCTGCAGCCTTAACGCATTTGTTAAAATCTTGTTCTTTATGCACGTGTTCCTGGTGTCTGTGTTGGGAACATATGTACCCCTCAGTGCATTTTTACCTGTTGACAAGCTGCATCAAGTGCTGAGTTGTTGCTGTGCTTGGAGTTAATACAAAGTACCTGAAGATATTTTACACCAAGCTAAGATGTTACTTTTGGATGCATGGAGGCTGTTTGATTTCATGGCTTTATCTCAGCTGTATCAAGGATAAGCAGGGGCTTGGGAAGGGTGGTCTGACATGTTTGCATTTGTTTTAATTTGGATTAATGAGTGGAAGCATTCCAGTTAAACTTTTTTGTAATTGTGGTGCACGTGCTGAGTGTTTGTTCTCTCTCCTTGCAGCATCTCTCCTTGAAGGCAAAAAGGGCTAAAGTAGACGACCACTGATTTGATGTGACTTAAGCCTTGTGGTGGCAGACGCTGAATCTACCAGTGATTTGGAGCTGGCTACAGTCCACCCAGCAGCCAGTTCATTGCCAACGTGATCTTACATCAACTTAAATGTTAAATGCCTGCCAGGACCTGTAGGGATTTGTGCATGACCAGTACACTATAAACCTATGTAGAGCTTGCATTGCAGACGTTTTATTCTTTGCCTAATTGACCACTGTTGTTAATCTAGGCATGTTGCTCCTTTTAAATAGATAGACAAAAAAAAAAAAAAGAGGACATGCAGGACCACAAAAAAAGGAAAAGATAAAAAAAGTCCTTCAAGAGGGAAATGGATTTCCTGGAGTGATGTCTGCCTTATGAGAGTGGGGAATAGGGTACCCTGCCTCCTGTTACCCAGAGCACTGTGACTACTGCCAGCCAAACTGAGGCTGACTCCTGACAGCAGGTAGCTCAGGGCAATGAACCACCCTTGAAATGCAAGGGACTGCCATGGAAACATTGCTTTCATGTTGGACCATAGCAAAGTGGTGCAGCTTGTGCTCCCAAGCAGTAAAAGTCTCTTGCCTGATGCTGAGCTGCCTCTTGCTCCCTGTCTTTCAATAAGTATAACATCTCAATTCCATACAGTAATGTTTGAGAGCCCTTGTCTGGGGAAGGGGAGGGAGAGTAGCTCAACCTTTTTGAAAGGATTAGCTTTTTTCCTCAATCAGGGGAAATCACACATGTTCACAGTTACTCAAATTCACTGCTGAGACTTTACTCTTTTTCTCTCCCTTGATAAGAAAAGCTGTTAACCTCTCATTGCTTGGAAACCAGAGAGCACTGGTTTTGGCCTCTTGTTCAGCAGAGATGAAAATATTCTTATTAGGAAAGTATAAAACCACAGTCCTATGTATTTTTTCTAATGAAGAATTTGTCCTTTGCTGCTTGGGACCACATGTGTTTCTGTAAGAGAAGAATGCTCTGAACATTTGCTTCTTTAATCTGGATTCCATGGCTACTTTTCAGTAAAGAGCTGTATTTTAGTGTGTTTCAACAAGACAGCATGTATACATATATTTATTTTTTTCTATCAATATTTATTTTAGAAACATGTCTAAAAACTTTATTTTTGTAAAGCAGTTGATTTGATGAATGCTTTTGACATGTTAGCCATGATCTTCTCTTTTAATTAAGAAAAAAGAGACTGAAGTATGTAAATAGACAAAAATTACATAAAGTACAATGCCTCCTTTATCACAGGACTGCCTTGGAAACTTTCCTGGATTTTTCTTTATGTTCTCCTGTCCAACCACTGCAGAAAGCATGTTCCATCATGTGCAGTGTGCAGTGCCTCCATGATGGCCAGCACAGAAAGATGTACTGGTCCCTGTGGATGGCACCAGCAGCATTACAAACAACATCACCTTCTTCATCATTTTCACTGTGAGCCTCACCTTTGTATTACTCTCTTTTAGAATGGAAGCTCTTTGGGGCAGGGACTGTCTCCCAACCAGAGCTGAGAGCACTGTTGGCACTTACTAAAAAGATTCAATTTACAGCTTTTTGTTATTTTTCTTTTCTCTTAAAGGATCAGAGAAAGAACTGAATACGAAGACTTTTAAAACATCTGTGTCCCTCCGTCCTCTGGAAATATTTTTAAGAAAAATAAAGGCATTGAATCAAGGAAGCTTGAGAGTGCCTCACTTCAGCGAGACTAGAGGTGATTCCCTAGCACGGCAGTACTGGTGATGGGCATGTGGTGGGTGGCTGCTGTCACTGGCTGCTTTGGGGAATTTTGACTGATCTGGCTGATTCTCTTCTCCAGGTGTGTTTCTGCCTGCCTGTAAAGCTGCACATCTGGTTGTTTTTGTTTTTTTCTTGCAATGGTTGTTACTCTTGCCAAGCTGAACAGCCAGGGATGTAAAAGCTCCATGCTGTGCTGAGGGCAGCTGTACTGGTGTAAGAATGGGCACAGCATGTCTTTGTAAACAAAAGCAGGAATGGAGGCTTGTATTCACTGTGGGCATTGCCAGAGGTGCACACACAGATAGAATGCATAGAACTTATGTGTGAGATGCAGGCTAAGAGGAAATGTTTTTAGTATCTGTATAAGGTGTCATTAGAGAGAAAGCACTGCTTTCATCAGAAATGTGCACCCTTTGAAGGTGCTTCAAGGCAGAGACCCAAAGCTTGAAAGGACTAAGAATCTTTTTACAGATGTGACCTGCAGCTCTCTGCTAGTTCTGTACATAGCTCTGTGCTGTAAATATCTGATGGAGGAGGTGGGTACCTGCCTTGTTGTTGGCACTCTGATGGAGAAACAGTCGGTGTGTTACTGTGGGAGAAGTTGGTGGCATTTGAAGATGAATGAAGTTTATGGAACAGTTTAAAGATTTAAAATCTGGCCTTTGGGGAGTGATGCTAAAGTGCTGCAGTCTGGAATTAAAATGCTGTCTGAAAAAAAGTTGTGCCACCACTGAAGAGGGGGTATTTTTCAAATCTAAGCCTACAAGCTGTTAGTTTCAAATTACTGTGGCCAAAAAGCCATGTTCCAGAAACCCGTCAGAAAGTGCTCTCAGTGTTTCTGCTTGTGACTTTGGGATTGTCAGTAGTAAAAAGAGATGTTGCTGAATTTGAATGGAAATTCAACTAAGACTGTTATTTGGAATGTGTTTCTTATAGATCAAAAAGAATTCTGTTAAGTGGATAGGAAAACAGTCACAGCTCTGCTTCTTTAATCTGAAGAAAGACCAGTTCTTAAGCAACTAAATCAAATGTTTAGGGATATGCACTTCTCGGTCCTTTATGATAAAAATACCTGTGTAGTAGAATACTAGTAGTGGCACATACAGTGGAATAATTGTCTCTTATTGCTGCATGCATGTTATCAGAACTTCAAGGTACAAAAGTTATTTTTTAAGATGGATTAATTTTATGCATGTTGCAATAAGCATCCTGCAGATAAGCATGGGAAAACGGTAAGTCAGCCTGTGTGTGTGTCTTTGGACTGGAAAAGAAGCTTATCAGAGTCACAGATCCATGTGACTCAGCCTAGATCTGGTGATTTTCTAGCTCGTGGGCAAGTGCAAACGGTGAATCGCTTCCTATTCCAGCGAATGGAGAAATAGGGCAGGGGTGTAAATATGGGAGAGTGCACGAGGGAAGATGGCTGCAACATGTTAGAATGCTTTCAGTAATTGTGGCTGTATTCTGGGGTATTTTTGACTGCAAAGGTGTGCTGCTTCTCTGGTTCTTTTGGGAGAACCTTGATCAAGGAGAGAGGGAAAAGAGCAGAGCAGCAGAGAGATGTGCAGGAAGGTGCAGATAAGTGCAGAACTTCATCCTTGGCTCATGTAGTGACTCTCAGCAGTGCCTTGCCTGTTTGCTCCTCTGCCTATTGCTGAGCTGCTGGTTTGTTCAGTGGGAAACTGAACTACTGTAAGCTGATTAGAGATGAGCAGAGAGCATCGCCCCGCGTGTCCCCTGTGTGCAGTGTTTGTATCTTGTGAAAGAATCACTGACCTGCACTCTTGGAGCTGAGGGCTGTGCTGTTTGTTTGCAGGTTGGACTGCTGCTGACACAAACACAGATGTGAGAATCCACCCTGCCATGCTGCAGGTGGAAACCATCGGGGCTGTGCGCTGTCTTTGGATCTGAAGGGTGATTCTACTCTACATGTTTCATTCCTTATGTTTCAACTTCTTTCTTTACCACCTAAAACTAGCTGTCATTTTTCTACTTGAGAACAGGAATGCGCATGGGAAACTGTTGGCATCCCATCATTCTGGTGTCATTTGCTACATGCATATGCACATGCATGAACTCAAAAGTTTATCACTTTTGAGTAACTTCATTGAAGGCAGCTCAGAACTCGTTTGTCAGCATAGTTTCATAACTCCAGTATAAGTGAATTGGCTGCTCAGTCCTTCACCGTTTGAGTGACCATTGGAAAGCTTTTCAGAAGCCCTTGCACCTAAATGAGCAGTAGTTTCTGGCAAGACAGGTACTTTGGATTGGACCATAATTCCTCGTTCAGTTGCTGGGGAGGAAGAGTAGAGCTGAGCTAACAAAGCTTTGTTCAGCACAAAGCCATGCTGGTGGCAGTCTGGGGAGCTCACAGAGGCAGCCTGAGCACAGCACTGCTGCTGGGCTTCCCAAGGGTGAATGTCAAGGAGGACATTCCTTCATGGAGTCCAGCAGTACTGCAGACTGCTGTGTAGTGGGCTGTTCTCTCTATTTTATTTTTTTTTACCAAACTTAGAGGATAAATGTCTTTTATTATTGCTTTTTGTTGTTGTTGTTGTTCTTTTTTCTGGAGTCTTAGACTGGACTAGAACTAGAACATCTGAGTTTTGGCGTTGGCTTTGTCTCTCAGTAAATCCACTTGTATTTCATTTTACTGAAGTGTAAGCCTTGGTGAAATTGTACCTCCTGCAGCAGTATGAGGTTGTAATGTCAGATGCACTGACACCCACCAATATGATGTCTTCTGGAATGCAGAAATGTTTTTGGCAAGTGGCTTTGCACGCTGTTTGTTTTCTATCCGAGGCAGGTTGAAACATTTTGAGGAAAATAAGTCTTTCTTCTGAAATAGGAATTAGCAGATTGCTGACATCTGATACTTTTCAGTGCTGAATGATCTTCATGAGCTACACTTGGTTTGAGTAGCACTTTTTCCTTCTCTTCAATTTCTGTTTTAGATGATTGCATTTATTTATTGTACTTGTCACCATTTGATTCCCTTTGTGGTCACTGGAGGAAAAGTAGTAGAGGAAGCAAAGCTTCCATCTCTCCTTTTCCCAATGTGGCCAGGTGGGAGAAAGCAGCTTGCCATGTGTCTCTCTTCCCCATGGCTTTTTTCATGGCAGAAACAGATAGGCTTAAGTTCAAAATGTGGATAAAGCTTTAGAATCTTCCAAAAAGGAGGGGAAAAAAAAAAAAATCAAGAAGGTCCCAAACCCTTCAAACGAACAGTTTTCTGAGCAGAAAAAAGAAAGAAGAAAACATTATACAGTCCTGGGGGATGAAGAGTTTACTGTGTTCAGCAGCTGTGATCCCATGTGCTGCAACTATGGGAGCAGTTACACGTGTCTGATCCTCTGGGCTGCTCAGCTCTGGTTGGATCAGCGTGGATTTTCATACTGCCAGAGTCCAGCCTGGTGAAGGCCATTGGGTCCCATGCGTGCAGATGATCTGTACTTCTTTGCACAGACAGGCTGGGCTTCATGGAAGAATACCAGTTGTGGCCCTCTCTGCCACTTTGCAGCCATTCAGGCTTCCTCTCTGTGGCTGTCTTGTGCGCACACCTGCATGCTTACAGCACTCCAGCCCCTGGCCCTTTGTTAGGCAATGAAAGTGCCACCCGTGTGTGAGGCCTCAGGCATGACTTGTTTGCTTTGCTGCACCTGTGTTGCTTGGGTTGAAGTACTTGGTGTGATGCAATGGAGGTGGGAAGCATTGAGAAAGCTCCTGCTATCAGCAGGCTTCTGTGAACATCTTGGTGCTTGCATGGTGCCAAACAGGCAACGTGGGACTCCTCAGTGGGGCAACGTGGAGGCAAATGTGTAATGAAAAAGGGCAAGTGAATCAAAACTAATGATTATGAGGAGCAGCTTCCCTAAGAAACTTCTTGTCTGAGTAGCAAGTAGGGTTCTGTGGTTTGGATGCACTTTTTACATCTCTGACGATTAAATCCCTCCATCACTGTAGTGTAAACTTGCATTAGTTATTTACAGCTACATGCATGAAAGGGCTCTGGGGGTGAGTCAGGGATCTGTAAGGTCTGACTTGGGCACGTCTGGCTCCTGCAGTGGACGCCACAGCCTTGTGTAGGTGTCTAATCCTCAGTGCAATGCAAAGGGACTGCCGACGCCAAAGGAGAAGGCTGGTGA